GAAACTATTTTTATCTGTGTTGGAGTAAAAAGATAAAGAAAGTGATTTGATTTTGAAATTTTAATTGAGAATGTTTGGAATTCTTTGTAACTTAAAAATGATATTATTGTCTTTTGAATAATACCATATTTTTTTAGTTGTATAAAATTTTAAGGGTAATTTTGTCTTTTATGCATATTTAGGCTATGCGGTGAATGTTAAATTTTTTTGGAGTGTGTTTGAGTCACATTTTTTTGAAAGAATGTATTATTGAATAGTAGATTGATGGAAAATGTATGGTTAAAAATGAAGGAAAAGTTATTGATGTGATGGAAAATATTATTTTATTGAAAAATGTGTAGTTGAAAATGAGTAGAAAAATAAGAATGAAAAAATAATGGGTACCAAACATGGCCTTAACTGGTATTTCAATACATATGATGTGAAATGATGATTCTTCTTATGTTAATACAGACCATTGCTTTTGTAGTACTTGCACAGGGAAATGCAGTTGGTTCAGAATTCAGTATTTCAACANAAGAAAGAAAGAGAGAAGATACAATTGGAATTGCTGTTGCATCGTGAGAAAAAATGGAGTTCAGTCTGAGCGGGAATGCACTCAAGACCTTCGCTCGCTCTATCACGTGCCTCGCACGCATCGGGAACGAGCTCGTCCTTCAGGCCTCTCCATCACAGGTTCCATTTATGGCTTTTTATTCAGATTTTACACTGTTTTCTTCTTAAAATTTTCAAATTATTGACATCATCATATTATAAATTAGAATTGAACAGAAAGTTGAATTAGCAATAAGACAGTTGTTAAATGAATTTATTTTATGTGTTAGTTGACTGGAAGTTAATATTAGGGAATTATTGCCCAAAACCAGTGCGCCTGATAGTTCAATTAGGGTTCAATAAGTTTAATAATTATCATGTACTACATATGAGCATCATGAGTAAAATAATAGTCGATACCTCAATTCTGGGTTTGGGAAAAATTAAAGCAAAATAAAGGTATTCATAATATTTAAAGTGAAAGAACCTCCAATGTTGTGAATTGAAAAACGTAAGCCATAAGAAGAGCTTGTTCTTTTCCAATTTTCTTTTTAACCTTTGGAGAATACTTTTTTTACATTTGCCTAACATCATCACCAGGTGAGATTTATAGGAATTAGGAGGAGGAGCATTATAAAAGCAGATGATTTATTCTAGGTATTGTAGCATGCAATCGTTTACATTTACCAGTATATCCGACTTGTTTCCCCTTTTCTTTTCTGATGGCAGCTCACTCTTCATACTCTTAACTCGTCGAGATCAGCATATCAATATATTACATTAAGGCCCGATTTCTTTGATGTATATAGAATATCAGGTGCCCAGATGCAATGCAGTGTGCTTTTGAAGGTAAACTTTTTTTTTTTCTATTGACTGCTCAGTATTTGGATGATTTTTTATTGCGTAGGTTGGGTGATTTTATGCTGATATTGGTTTATGCAGGCAATCTGTTCTGTTCTAAGAACACCCATTGTGAGTATTGATCATTTGAGTGTGCGTTTGCCTGATCCTGATGCATCGAAGGTGCAGTGGACTTTGGACTGTGTTAATGGTAAAATGCCTTCTATCTCAATTTTTATCTTCTCTCCATATCCTGGCTCTGATTGGTGGGATAATGACTAGATGCAATTTACAAGTTTAAAAAGATGTTACTTTCGAATTTACCTAAAATTTCATGTAATGCTGTCTTATTAAAATAGATTCCTACTGTAAGCTTTTACCCTCCACCTCGCACGAGATACGGGGTGGAATTTGATATGGTAAAGTCACTGAAAAATAGTTACATAGAAACTATCATGAATAGTTGTTTTTATACCGTCCACATAATCAATGATTTTAACTTTAGTTTAGCTTTCTCTTTTCAAATATAAACTGTTACTGGAAGTTTATCCTTTAGGAGTGATGCACATTAAAGATGTACTCTGAACCATCAACTTTCTACGCAACATTTGTAGTAAGTAGATATACATCTGATGATCATGCATGACGGTATAGTGGAAGTTGGGCCAATTCAAGTTGTTTCAGAAGCATCATGGTACATTCGTCTGATATTAACCTGAAATGAGTAAAGTGTAAAAAAATAATTCTTTTTTTGCAGGTATGAAAAAATCCTATTGGATTACTTGCAATGTTGAACCTGACGTACAACAACTATCACTTGATCGGAGAAAGCTTCCCAGCAACTTCGTAGTAAGGCCTCGTGATCTTAATAGATTATTAGCTAATTTTCAATCAACCCTTCAGGAGATCACGTTCATTGCAACCCAACCTTCTTCCTTACCTCTCGATGCTGCAAATGAAATTGGCGGGAAAGCTGTTGAACTCAGAAGTTACATAGATCCTACCAAAGGTAGGCTAGGCTATTGTCTATTTCCCTCTAATGATCTCAGTTTACTGTAAGATTCAATCTTATAGTTCTTTATTCCAGACAATGATTCAACACTACACACACAGCTGTGGATAGATCCTGCTGAAGAGTTTGTGCAGTATACTCACTCTGGGGATCCTGTAGATGTAACATTTGGAGTGAAAGAATTGAAGGTACTCAAGCAAACAAGCTAAATAAATTCACTTCTTTTCTGACATTGCTGTAAAGAGTTTGTTTTAGTTGTTCACGGCTATTTTTTTTCTTGTTCAAAATTCCAGGCATTTCTTGCATTCTGTGAAGGATGTGAAGTTGACATACACTTATATTTTGATAAAGCCGGCGAGTAAGATCAAGCTGCTTCCAGTGCTTTACCATCTTTATTGCCCCCTTTCCACATGCCTTCTCTCTTCCTCAACCCCAGTGCCTTCATTTTTATCCAATATGGAGCATGTATGCAGCAAAATTATACCCAGGATAAATTTTTGGCGACATTGTTGTCATAAATATGCATAAATTGTGAAATCAAAATGATTGATTTCTGTATTTCTTGAATGATAATTTGCACACACTATTACAGCCTATTTATAGTACAATAAAGAATATACAAAAGGAAAATAATCTCCTAATTTTGGAGAAAAGAAATCTGCCTCAATTTACCTAATTAAATAGTCTAACTATGGAATGATCAATGTGTCCAACTATAGAATGATTTAATTAGGAATCAATTATGTTTTTCCTTATAAATCACTTTCAAATTTCTACAATCCCCATTAGGTTGGATCGTAAATGTTAATCATGTCCAACTTGCAAGAAACAACGAAATTTTTTCGAGGAATCCTTTGGTGAAGATATCTGTAGTTTGTTCTTTTGTAGGGTACGTAAGTCATATAGATAACTCTATCTTCAACATTTTCTTTGATAAAATATCGGTCCACTTCTACATGCTTTGTTCGGTTATGTTGAACTGGATTGATAAAAATGATGATAGCTGCCTTATTATCACAGTAGAGTTTCTTAGGAAGCTTTCTTGTGACTTGTAGTTTTTCCAAGAATTTTTATAACCATAATTCTTTGCATATTCATTATGCAACAACAATCAGTTTCAGCACTGCTTTTTGCCACTACATCCATTCAAAGGTACAGTAACCAGTAGTTAACCTTTCGTCTTCTATTGATCCAGCCCAATCAGCATCTATAGAGATTTTCACTTCCTTTCTTTCACAGCTCTTGAAAGATAGACCTTTACCTGGAGTCCTCTTGAGATCTCTTAGGATCTTGTAAACGGCTTCTAGGTGAGTGCATATACAGACTTACTACACTTACTGCAAAGGCGATATCAGGTCTAGTGTGTGATAGTTAGATTAGTTTGTCAACCTGACTAATACTATGAAATCAGAATGATTTGTTTTTGTATTCCTTATATGATAATTTGTACGCACTATTACAGCCTATTTATAGTACAATAAAGAATATACATAAAGAAAATAATCTCCTAATTATGGAGAAAAGAAAGTTGCCTCGATTTACCTAATTAAATAGTCTATGGAATGATCAATTTGTCTAACTATAGAATGATTTAATTAGGAATCAATTATATTTTTCCTTATCAAACCAATTCTGAATTTCTACAAATTGTATATGATTTAGAGCTAAAACATTGTATCTGGATTATTGTAGTCTGTATACGATTTAGAGCCTTTACATTGGATCTGAATTGCTGAAGTAAGACACTAGATTTATCTATTCATTATAATATTAGCCTTTGTTTGACAACCATTCTTTCTCATTCTTTTTTTCTCTTAACCACACATTCTTACGATAAAATATTATTCACGTAAACCCAAAACTTTTTCTTACTTTTTAACTACACATTCTCCCAAAATTTACTATTCAAAAACTCATTATTTCCTAAAAAATTCTGTCAAGTAGAGGCTTGATGTTATTGTATATGTGATTTCTTTGGCCGACCTTATTGGGATACGGTGGGGATTTAATGTAGCTACTTATATGAAGTTACAGCATCCCATTTTAACTTGAAGCATAGCATCAGTTGCAATGCACATTCTACGGCTGAGTTTATGATGAAAACCATGTGGATCCTTTTATCAGTTTTGCTCTTCCTTCAACATAACTTTTGAAATTTTTTCTTGTCTTATATTGAGGGTTCTAATTGTAACTGAAAATCATAAGTCACTTTTTTCCTGCTGCTGCTATTAACTCTCTGTAACTGTTGAATATGTGTACATGATCATTTTGTTTTAGTTTTTTACTTGTTTGACATGTGATTTTGTGGTGCGGGGATATTAATTTTGACCTTGTTAACTATGATGTGAAAATTGGAGAAACAGGCCGATCCTGATGGCGCCGAAATTTGGATTTGATGATGGTTCTAATTCAAATTTCGATTCTGCCCTGGTGCTTGCAACTATGCTGGTGTCACAGCTCAATGGTGTGAATTCTACGGAACCTGCAGTAGCAGCAGCCACTGCTTCTCATGGAACAGAGGCCCCAGTAAAGTATGGATCAAAAGGAAATGTTTCTGAACATCAGTCTGATCACACCAAAATATGGTCTGAACTCTCAGGTAAACTAAGCTATTTTTTAAACTTCAAGACTAAAGTTTACGTGGTTGCTTAAACTCCAACTGCCTACAGGAAGTGCCGCAAGAAGTGGTAATGGTGCTGAAGTTAGGCAAGTTCCAGGGGAAAGAAATCGAAGTACCAACGAGCAGAGGACGACTCAGGGGATTGGGGCAATGCACATATCGAAAGATGGATATGCTGCTGGAATGACTGGGGATCATAATGAGTATCCTTGTACTTTTTTTTTTTCCAGTCTTATTGCAATGCTTTTAATAGGTTTGAGATTTTTATAACCGTAATGATACCTTGTGTAAAATTGCTCTACCAGAGGCAAGCAGAGATATGCTGCTTATTTACGGAACTAGTACGCACATGCTTTACTGTGCTAATGGAGGGAAAATATAGATTTATTGTCAAATTCTAGTACTGCTGTTTAGACTTTTTGTGCATCAGAAGTGCCATATCTCTGTGCTTGTTCAAAGAAAAGCACGTTGTCTCAGGTTTAATCTTTTAGTAATTAAAGCCTATTTTTAGAGAGATTCTTATTGCATTTTCGTGCTGCCAGTTGTTCGATAAGATACAAGTTGAGGTCTAGAAATATTTCTATAAATCATACATGATTGTTCCATTTCCATGTTACGAAAGTAAAAATGACACTTGCCATCGATTTATTGGCGTCATTCAACAGGTTGAGGATCTAGGATGGTGCATCAACCTGAGGAAGCTAGGAACTATAGACTTTTTAAGTGTGTTATATCTGCAATTAGAATATGGAATGTCTGGTAGTGATACTGACTTCAGTAAATGCAGTCAAAAAAATATCTAAGCATATGATACATTTTAAAATGACTAATTTTCTTGACCGAATGCATTAGCTGCCATCCCGTGCAAATGGATAATGCTGAACAGCCTCAAGGTTAGTTTCAGTGTGCAGGTTTTGCCTTGTTTATATTTTTTGGTCTATATTAAATTAACCATCATTTCTTGTGATCTTAGATGGGGCAGAACTGAATGGTCAAGTTATCTCACAACGTCATCCAAGTAACTGGGTGGATGCTGATGAGGAAGATGATGAAGGGGATGAGACTGACTTATGTGTGCGCTCAACGCCTCCATACTATGAGGAATGATGTCTATTTTGGATTTATGCTTTGTTCATTCAGAGTGATGATTGGGTACTGTTTTCTCTGGTAAGTGCAAGTCTCATTCATTGAAACACTTCAATGCCTTAAATTTTCAGTTCTGGCCACTCAAGTTGTGGATTAATTCTTCATGCTTGCCCAAATTAGGATATTTTTTAGTTTCAAGCATAAGGGTCACAGGATGATTTGATTTTGATTTTCTGTTTTAATTTTCTTAACTCTCAAAAGCAAAAACCAGAAAACGTCCCTGGTGACATTTTGTAATAATCTTTTCCAGAAAGATAAAGACGAATAAATTGTTATGCCTTGTGATTTTGTCCATCTTGATTATCAAGAGTGATGTACCAAACACCAATAGTAGTGTCTCGACTCTCGAGTGACGACTCTCGAGTGACCCTCAAGCTGCAAATTCCCTTCCTGCACGGCAGACCCCCCTTCCTCCACGAATGGAATAAGAGAAAAAGAAAAAGAAAAATGCTGCAACTTCTTTCTTCTATCAACAAAAATGCCTTCATTGGAACAGGAGTCACCATAGTTGCCTTCATCACTGGCCGTACTCTGAAATTATATAACATGTGTTTTTGATTTCATCAGTAGATCAATTGCTTTGAAATTCAATATAAGTTGATTGTCTTGCACTTTCTAGATAAGAAATAATAAAATCAAATTGTTCAATCATTCTATTTGGCTTTAACGTTGATTGACACTTGTATTTTTCCTGAAATATTCTTGGTTTTAATCTTGTGAATAGACGAAAATGTGGAAGATCGTAAACTGAATTATCAGTAATGGAGAAGAAGCAGGAGGAAAGCATGCTGAGTATATTTATTTCTATTACTTCTTCGATACTGAAGCTGAAACACGTTTCCATTTTTGCAGGCGAACAAATAATACAAGTTGGCAAATCTGCTATACTGTAAAAGTTTTCTGAAATACATTAATGTGAGATATCTATGACAAGGTTAGACAAGATCAAAGTTAAAAGTCTCTGGCCATTAGGTCCCAAGGTTTTTCGTGTGGATGATGCAGTGCATATATGCTGAAGTTGTAAGGTTTGGTCGAATGGTTCAAATCTGGAGTGAATTTCAGCATTATCCGTGCTGCTTGCTCTCGTTGTCAGAGTTCATTTCTTTGTGAAGTTGCTTAATGTAGAAGAAATGTCGGAATTCAAACTGTATTACTCTTTACTGATGATTCTGCAAAACACAAAGTTCGAGTGATGAAATGTTTAGCAACATGAATTGGAGTCTATTGTTAAAGAAGAAAAATGACTTTTAAATTTTCATTGTAATATGTCGACTAGTATTGTGTATCAAATATATCTGGAAGTTGCAGGCAGTTGATAATGGGGAATTTACGCTCGATGATTTCTTCAAAATGTATGCTCTTTGACTTAATTTAGGGTACTATAAAGTCTTCCTTAAAAACCGGGGTGATCTTTGTTTATTAAGCTTTGGAAATAATTTAACCGTGGGGCCCATTTGGTTTTTAGTCTATGTGCACATGGGATATTTCAATTTTTTTCCTGCCGTTCACGTTGGTATGGTTCTTGAACTATGTTTACATGCCAGGATGTCATTGATCGTCGTACGAATTGAGAAAAGCTCCTAATTTTTATTAATTACGTTATTAAACCAAATAGGGGCTTAACGTCATCCGATTTCTTCAAATGTACGCCTTTGACTTAATTTAAGGTACTAAAGTCAAAGTAAATCTAGCTTTAATTCTACACAATGTGTTAGAGTAATACTATTTATCATAAATTATCGGTGATACGACAATCTATTATTCCTCACATATCTCTCTCCTCTCCGTCTCTCTTGTATAAATTGAATTGTCAAATCTCATTAGTTTACATAGACTGTCATATTATCGATAATTTATCATTATAATAATAAATAGCATTATTCAATTTGGGCTTTATCTAGAACAGATTCCTTGTTTTTGCAAAATTGATTTTCAGGCCGTTTTTGTTGACTTTCTCTCACAAGGTGTCAGGCCATTTAATTGAAATTGGAACCGTTGAAGCAAAAAAGGGTCAAAAAAATGATTTTAATCCCAATTTAATCACACCCAGACAAGGCCTTGTTATTGTTGGGGATGTCATTGAGAGTTAATAATCTCAAGCTATGAGTTTGGTGATTTTTTTTTTTTCAACTAACATGAAATTATAATTCATTTCTACTTTTGCCGATCAAACGGACGTCCCCTAAGATACTTTTCTCAAGAATATCTTTTACAAGAAGTGAAAAACTAATCCTACAAACGGCCATAACATTTGATATAAAAAAATAAAAATAAAAAATAAAGTTGACAAATAAATGAATCAGACAGTTTATGGGGGAGATGCCTTTTTTGTTTTTCAAGTCAAATTAAAACAAAGTACAGATAATTAAATAACGAACAAAAAATAAAAGAAGAGAGAATGTGTATCCGTTAAGTTTGAGGGTGGCTATTACGCGCAATCACCGAATTTGATTGTCTGTCATCTGGTCCCCACACACGTTTAGATTACACCTTGCGCCCTCAACAGCTACGTACAAGTAGTACAACTCATCCGTTGGCCTAACGCGGTTAGCTTTCGACCCACCAGAAAAATAAAATTCATTTGAAATACTCCGAGATCGGGAGAGAACAATGAATTAACTGCGAAACTTGTAACATTGACGACAAAGCGAGTGAGAAAGAGAGACATCGTATTTTTTTTCTCGAAGAAAAATGACTTTCTAAACTAGTCTCGTATGTTTTTTTTTCTTGTTCTATCTGAATTGTTCTTTAGGCAAGGGTAAATCAATCAATATATGTCTCCAACTTTGTCTTCCATTCAAGAAATCGTGAGCCAAGCTATGTGACGAATTAAAACACAATTTTACGGTAAAAAAATTAAAAAAAAAAATTGAGCCCTAATGCTCACGAGTCAAACCGACACACCAACGACTAGTTCATGGGCAAACCGAGCCAAACTTTTCAGAACTATAGTACTCGAGTCGTCGCATTTAGCCTATGTTTGGCTATCGTTAAAATAAAACTATTTAAATACTAATTTTCAATCATACATTCACAATTTCACACAATAAAGCCCTTGTTTGGTGTCCATTATTTCAAAAAAAAAAAAAAAGAGTTTTGAATGATATTTTAGGAGAATATATAGTTAAAAAATGAGGAAAAATTTTGGATTTACTTGTAGAATATTATATTATATGAATTTATGGTTGAAAATGATCTTGTGACAAAAAGAATTTTAAAATAATTAGCATAAAATAGGGACAAAATATTTTACACGTAAATCCAATATTTTTTTCTATTTTTTAACTATACATTCTCAAAAAAATCAATATTTAAAATATTATTTTCTCAATTTCTCTTTAAAATGATCATTAAACAGAGTTTAATACTTTTCACTTCAATTAAAAAAGCAATGGAAAGTAAAAGTGGCATTCTCGTAGTTTGAAGAGTATATGAGGCCTAATTATTACCACTCCTACACTTATATATCAGGCGAGATCCACTATCTCCACTTAGCATTTGTTCTTCTTGAACTCCTCAAATCCCAAGATATAAAGGAAATAGAGGAAGATAGCCACCATTTTCCACCACCGCCGCCACCGAAACAACTACCTAATTCAGAAACCGAGAAGGCAAGGTAAAGATCTCATTGAAAAATCAGCTTAATGAGAATGGCAAGAACAGTTTCTTCTCTTTTTTTCTCGCTCTGCATAATCGCATCACTACTACTTTCCCAAGCCTCGGCTAGCTCAGAGCAGGAGGCGGTGGGGTGGCTTATGCCGATGATGAGATCCGGTTGCAAAGGAACGATTGCCGAGTGTCTATCCGACACAGATGAAGAATTCGATCTGGATTCCGAGGCCAACCGGCGTGTCCTAGCCACTCGCCGCCGCTACATCAGCTACGGCGCGCTCCAGAGGAACAGAGTGCCCTGCTCCCGCCGCGGCAACTCCTACTACAACTGCCGTCCTGGCGCTCAAGCCAACCCCTACACCCGCGGCTGCTCCGCCATCACTCGCTGCAGGCGTTAAAAATTTCTTTCACTACTGCTATTACTTTTTAATTGGATTATTTTTTTCATCATTTTTTAACTCTTTACTTTTCGAGATTTGAGTGTTTTGTATACGAGAAAATGGAGATTTAGGGGTTTGTTAATGGTGAATTATTGTTGTTATTATTATGTCGGTGTTGTCTTATATACAATTTTTATATGTTTTTTGTGAATAATAATTCATATTCATGATGTATTGAAATATTAATATTAGCCCCCATTATTTTCCATTATTTAAAATTATAATTTTTAGAATCGTTGTTTTTTTTGTTAAAAGAATGTATGGCTAAAATATATATATATATATATATATATAAACAAAAATTTAGATTGATAAAAATGAATTATAATTTTAATTTTTCATAAATTAAATTTCGGCTTTTTTGTTTATTTATTTTCTTTCAAAATTTAAAACTCATTGAACAAAAGGGATTTGAAAATTTGAATATGATGGGGAGAGAGATTGATATCAACAAAACTACAGCTGGAGGCAGGTACTAAGGTCATGTTCAATGATCATTATTTTGAAAAAATAATGTTTTAAATAGTGATTTTTTAGAAGATATGTGGTCAAAAAGTAGAAAAAAAAATTTGGGCTTACATATAAAATATTTTTATTATATGAATGTATGATTGAAATAAGTATAAAAATTAAAGAGTTTTGTTTTAAAAGAAGACAAACAGGAGTTAACTACTAGTTTTCTACTTGACTCGTGACATATCATACCTACGGAAAAATTTAATTCCACTCTGGATATTCGAAAGCTCTCTCGAATTTTCATTTGTTACGGAACATGTCTCGTTCATCAAGTGACTCAAGGCAAGGAGAAAGCTTTCTTAGTGATTATTAAGTGCCTGCTTGGAATAAACAATGTTAGGTGTACAATCATTAAGGGGTTGTAAAATTTACAAATTTACAATCATTAATATTTTTAATTAATTAGCGGGTCCCACACTAATGTGAGGTAAATTTTACAATCTTTTAATGATTGTACAAATGGATTTTTCCGTTTGGAATAGTTCAATAGTCGCTAAAAGTATATTATTAATTTTAATCATACATTTCATGAACCTCCAATTTTATTAATTTTTTCAACCATATATTTTATCAAAAGCTTTATACAACCCTTGGCATTTGATATACGCCCGGCCCCAAGTCCCGACTTTCAGAAAGAGAGCGTTTCCCTCAAAAAAAATAAACTCAAAGTGGAAAAGGGAGAAAAACAGTTACAAAGTGAATAAGGCTTATTTGCAGCTTTTGCTTTGAGATGTTTATGTGATTGGTGTCTTTGTTTTATTCCCTTTTTTTCGAACAAAAGTTGAGTAGGAACGAGAAGAAAAGAAGGCAGGAATAAAGGAAAGATTGCATTGGAATCTCTAACTAGTTGAGCTTTGTAAGCTGTAACGCGGCTTGGCCAATAACCATACCTACTCGTCGAATGGTCCAAATGATATAAATAAATACAAATCATTATACGTCAATTCAATGCTTTAATTCGTAAAATTGACGGATCTAACCGACATGTAAAATTAAGTGATCGACTGACTTAATTTCGATGCCTCTCGTAAATTAGAGTCTTGAGTAACAATATTGTTGAAGGAATAATGCTACTTTGCTCCAAAAATGTGATATAATGGTTGACAAAATAGATGTTGGCAAGAAAAAGCTGACCGTGTTTTAAACAGTCCAACGATATGTTGTCATGTGACACTATGTTAATCATTATGTCAACCATTATATTCATGTAACATGATTGTTGTTGACGGCGTTCATCCTTTTGTTTTGTTTGACAAACCTTTTTACTAAAAAATTATCTGATTTTGATAAAAAATAATAAAATGTATGATTGAAAAATTTATAAAAATTGTGAATTTCATGAAATATATAATTAAAATTAATTATAGATTTTGACTTCGACTTTTTAAAAACTTTTAAAGTAAAGGAGCACCTACTTAAAAAAATATGACACCACATATCTAAAGCAAGTGGCCCTTCTATAGTGTCCATATCTTTGGAGTAAGTGGTTTAAATATGGCTATGAATAATTTTGAGGAAGTTAACGACCCGTGAAGTCGCAATCGAAAGTGATGCCAATATTGAAAGAAGATATTTCCATGTATTATTGGATACGACGAAAAAGACATTTGAAGCGTTTCATTTTCTTCATGAATAGAAGGAACAACGTTATTAAGAATTTAGTATAAAATTACAGATGAATTATGAAATGAAGTATGTTCTTTAGTAATATAAATACAAAAATTTGTGCTCTCTCAGGCAAAATTTAACAAATAACTTTATGACATGTTTGATATACTAGACTGGATTGTGATAACCAAAATAAAGAAAAGAAATTTGACATGTTGCATTAAGGAACCATGGATATAAGTTGAATTAATGTGCAGGCCAAGCTTGTTCAAGTATAATGCCACTAAAGAGTATCACATGGTGTGCATGATATTTTGTCAATGATTCAAACCACTAAAAAGATTATGCAATCTTTAAAGATGATTGTTACTTTATGTTACATAAATAAAAAATGTATATATTATTAAATCGTGGAGCCTAATTTTTTTTCTTTTTTTACGCGAAGTTCGGACATCGATCAACTTATTTTTGTTTAGGAGTAAAATTTTTGTTGAACTTTCTGTATTTGATTTATTTTGCTGATTGAAAAATATGTGGGCAAATTAATTGTTTTACGCTCTCGTAAACTGTTATTGAAGACAAGATATACTAATTAATAAATTGGTGCTATTTTTTCTACGACGCCAAGTTAGTCAATTGAAGAAAGTGCATAAACAGTATGAAATGCAGTTTCATAGTCTCAAAATCCATGTCAAACATACCCTAATATGCATTGACATTCAGGAAAAGCAAAGAACCTTTTTTAATTAAAAAGACTAATGAAAAAAAAAATGGTAGAAATTTGATATAAAGATTACAAAGAAAATACTCAATTATCATCAGAATCTTGATCTAGGATGTACAGATATGGAACTGAAGGTTCAAGTTCAGGAGTTTCATCTGGCTCTTCCTCCTCCTCCTTGCTTATTTCAAGAATTTTCCAACCTAAATGCTGGATATGAACTCTATCAAAGGCATCAATTTTCAGTCCTGATGCCAGAAATAGTTCTAACTCATACACAAACCTATCCGATCTACCTCACTTCGTGTACGTACATGAAGTCCAGTGCTAACTATTATCCCCCTACCTGACTTCGTGTACGTACATGAATTCTTTTTGACTTTCCAGTCAAATATTATATTTAAACAAGTATTTAAGTCAAACTGGTATTCAACTTGTACTCTGATGAGCTACCAATATTATATTTGTGCTATATCTTTTGTGGTAGAATCTGAAAATAGCAAGGATACTACCTTCTGATAGAGCCGATCACGCCAAGTATGTGATGAGCGATAATATCTTCATCTTCCTCCTGCATATGAATCAGAGAACCAATTTTAAAACCTATAGTAGTCCGGGATTGGAAGGGTCACTCCAGCAAGGCTCCAAATAGTAGTTACTAATTCGTCATGGCTCAATTGCAAAGGCGAAGCATTTCTGTTACGCCTCTTCCAGCAAGACTCCAAGTAAGTCCACATGGCAGCTACATGGAAAACGAACCTAGGCCCGCACTCTACACCATTCTGCCTAAGTGGCAGTTTTTGGCTGAACCCCCCATGAGGAGGCCAAACTCCTATGAAAATGTCAAACTCATTTGCTGGAACGGACCCCATATGTAAGGCCAAACCCTCGTGAACGAGGTAAGGCGGGTAAGGCTCTGCAGAAGATCTTTTGAACATAATCTTCAACGAATGATTGATGTGACAACTCACTGCTATAGCCTCGCATCAACTCACTGCTATAGCCATCCGACCAAGTCAACCGGTCAAGTCTAATCCTTTGCATCAGATTTAGGGCGGCAAAAAAGTCATAACATTAGGTGCACTTGATTGATTGACGCCCACGATAGGATGCATTGGCCGTGTGGATGAGGCCACGTGCCTCCACATCTAACGGCTATCACTCGTATACTCTCCCAAAGCCGAACCCCATTTTGCATAAGAGGCTTGTGCCTAAAGCACAACCCACACTCAAATACTTGTATTGTCAATTGACTTGACCGTCGGAGTGCGAGCAGCCACCTCCCCCACCACCGGAGAAGGCCACGTGTGGTCAACAATTTCAATTTTCACTTCTTGAAGATGACACAGAACAGAATGTGTTCTGGGGTAAAATGAAGCCACTAAACCCCCGTTTGGCACCCATTAATTTCTCATTCTCATTCCCATTCTCATTTTCATTCTTCATTTCAACCACACATTCTCCAAATAAAATACTATTATACACAAATCAAAAACTTTTCATCACTTTTCCTCAAACCCTCGTGAACGAGGTAAGGCTCTGCAGAAGATCTTTTGAACATAATCTTCAACGAATGATTGATTTGACAACTCACTGCTATAGCCTCACATCAACTCACTGCAATAGTCATCCTACCAAGTCAACCGGTCAAGTCTAATCCTTTGCATCAGATTTAGGGCGGCAAAAAAGTCATAACATTAGGTGCACTTGATTGATTGACGCCCATGATAGGATGCATTGGCCGTGTGGATGAGGCCACGTGCCTCCACATCTAACGGCTATCACTCATATACTCTCCCAAAGCCGAACCCCATTTTGCATAAGAGGCTGGTGCCTAAAGCACAACCCACACTCAAATACTTGTATTGTCAATTGACTTGACCGTCGGAGTGCGAGCAGCCACCTCCCCCACCACGGGAGAAGGCCACGTGTGGTCAACAATTTCAATTTTCACTTCTTGAAGATGACACGGAATAGAATGTGTTCTGGGGTAAAATGAAGCCACTAAATGAATAATTATAACTTCACAAAAATCTAGTAAAAGAAAAAAAAATCTTGAAAGATCTGCACCACCTAAAGAAGGAAACTAAGAGATTTAAGCAATCTGCACAAACGAATAAATTTCCCCATAGCTTTGCACTGAAGGACCATAGTTGTTGATAAGAGTAGATAGGACTTCTTATCTTTGCACATACCTAAAGACCAGGGGATGGACGAGTTTAAGGTGGAAGGAATCACGAGTATTTATCGGGTCAATTTATCTAGGAAATTTACTTCAAATTACTTGATTTTGCGCCATTTAGATGTAACATGCGTATTCACAATAGATTGTACTTGGATCATGACTTCCAAATTTGATCAATCCCCAGAAAACGATTTCTGTAGACAACACTACTGGAAAGAAAAAATGTGAATAGAAAAAAGAAGAGAAACAATTGAACCTGGGTTACAGCTTGAATTTCCCTTCTCAACCAATGATGTAGCCCATGATACTGCAGACGATACTTGCACGACTTCCAGTAACTTGACACTTTTACTTTATCAGCTCAGATTCTTGTTGAAAATGAAATCAGAAAACTTCAGTGTATAAATAGGAAAACTAGAAAGGCCATTTTAATTAGCAGTAAAATACCTGGTTTAGCATTGTAGCATTTCAGTCTATAACTGTGAGCTTCTGAAAAGAACTCACTGAAGAGTTTATGAATAAAATATGATTTAAAAAATAAAAGTGGGAGGATGATAAATGTTTTTAGATAAAGCCTCAAGATAAAGGACAATGTGTAGAGAACTACAATACCTATTCCTTAAATCCCTATTAACATAATGCTGTTGAAATGAACTTCCATCATATCCATGTACTATAGAAAAGTTTTCAGTCTGCAACCAGATGCATAAAAATCTTAACATGATAAGAGAACTAACTCAAATGAATTAGATGCTATTGAATGTTAATCCTACACTTGAGACAAATTCATTTACTTTTGGGGGAGAATAGAAGTGAATCAGCAACCCAGAAGAGAATCAGTGCTCTTTCCAGTCGAATTTGTATTCTTACGCTTTACCCTCCTTTTATTCAATACTAGTCGCATGCCTGTGCAATGCACGGGCTGTGTTTTTCTTAAGGTAATGTTAGTGTATTACAAAATGGAAAATGCATAGACCTACTTTTGAAATGGAACAGGAGATATTCATAATAAAACATTGTTTACCTTACATCATAAATTCTAAACAAGAATCAGTACTTTAGTCATGAGAAGTGGAAAAGATTTCTGTAGATTAAAGTATCTCAGATTGATCATATAGTTTGTGTTTCTTACAAGCAAAATGAGAAAGAAACAAAGGGAAGAACAGAAGCATATAGAACAAACAAGTACTTGAAGGAACATCTGTATGGGTTTTGCCTTCATATAAAACTGATTCAGCTTGAACTCCAACTCTTCTAAGAGTCTCAGCAAAACATTTATGGAAGCAAAATGTGTTGAAAGTACATTTTTATAGCCTATGAAACATATATGAGCTCTTTTATGGTCGTTCAAAGTAATCTATTGAGTGAAAACATAATTTTCTTCTAAGAGACACTGTGAAGTTTGAGTACTTGATCTATTAAGTAGAGGGTGATGCACTCAGTTTGGGTAAATGGGACCATCAATTGTCTTTTGTATGGCTGGAGAATATTTATCAAGAAGTAGATTTATGGGATAAGCATAAGAACAATAACAAACTTAGGGCATTTTACCAACTGGATTTTACCTTTGGTGCGCCTTTGCTCACTCAATGCATTTTACCAGCTGGATTTTTGTATGTTAGACCTATCCTTTTGTCTATTGGATTGAATGGTAAGAAGTGAACTTATGTGATTCCAGCACGTGCCTTGAAGAAAATAGTTGAATCAAAAGAAAATTAATTAGTAATTATGAAGTCGAATGAAAGTATTTACCAACTTCCAAAATTAATGAAATAGTAAGATACCCTTAATGATGCTCAATAATGCCGTGGGCTTGTGCCTCACACTCCCAAACCAGTGTCATCCCAAATCAAGCATACTACAACATAATCTGAAAACAATGAAACATTAATTTCATTACAGCTATCCAACATATTCAAATACAGTTATTATAGCAAAACCAGCAATACCAACCTTTTATTGTCATCTCGTAACTACAAGGCTAACCCTAAGATATTCGAGGCCCCAAGCGACAAATTATTACGAAACTCTTAAATATAATTTTCTATAAGCGTATTGATCTCTTTAATATCACTCATATTCTATTCAAATTGATTTTTTATACTATTTTTGAAAAATTAAATGAGCCATTTTAAAATAAATAACTTATTTTTAACTTTCAATTAATTTTTTAATTTTTTAAAAAAAAATTATAAGCTTACTAAAAAATTATGGGAGATTTTTTTAAAAAATAAAAAATTAAGCTCATTAAGGATTTAAGTGTCCAAGTGTTTTGGATATCTTATTTAGTGTATCACGTTATTTAGTCATGTCTTTAAATGGAATAAATGATCCAACTCAAAAAAGAAAGGAATTTTTTTGCTGAATTTTTGGGCTTTTAATTTTTTGAGCCCCCTCAAGAATTGGGCCCAAGGCAATAGCCTAGGTTGCCTTTGGCCTAGTCCATTTTTTGTCCAAGCTATGTTAGAAAGCTGGTCAGCTTGGGGCTTGTTACATACTGAACCAAAATCCAAGTTCCTTAAGAACAATTTGAAGCATTTATATAAACTTAAGTTATATAAAAAAAGGGAAATAAACTTAAGTTACAGTTATGTAAAAATTAGAGGAAAAAGGCACAATACACTAATTTCCATAAGTTTTATACTAAACAAAGTAGGATGAACGGAATCAAATCCTCAAATGACATGAAACTGAAAATTGAAAGCTGAATTTGGTGGCTAATAAATCCAAACAATGTTCTAAATTCGACTGAAATTTAACAGGCAGTTCTTCAAAACCATGACAATACAAATAACATTTTTTTCATTGTTAAATATATCTGTCTAAAAAATGAATCCATAGAATACTAATCCTAGAATAAGACCTCAGTATTCCAATAGTTATGCACAAGTCTTTCCACCAGAATGACATGTTGACACAATCTTAAAGCTAAAAAAATGGAGGAAAAACATAGTTCAATTGTTTGCATCATCATCACCAACTCTGGAATAAAACTTTTTAAAGATTCATTGCTAAAGTTTTACCGGGACTATCGGAATACCACCTTGTTGAACATTACCATGATGGGGAAGACGGAGGATGCAAACGGATTACTTCAGTTGTTGCAGGCGCAAAGCAAACATGAATTATTCCTTTGAGGCTTCGAGCCAAATGTCATGGTTTCCACCCATTCTCACCAACTCACTCCACTCACTACTCACCAACAACCTATGCATTCTATAATATTCTGGCGAACTTTATAAATACAGCACATGCAGAGAGGATGAGGGGTGCAATTGAATTCGGGTTTTCCCCATGTGTTTTGCCTCTTTCAGCCCTTCTCTGATTTATCCTTTTTTTTCTATCTCTACATCTCAAATCTGAATTCTTCTTCTCTTCTCTTCTCTTCTCCTACTCTGAATCTGTTCTCCTCCACTTTCTCTATGTTCTTTGCTAAAATTCGTCTTCTATTCTCCTCTGAATTTCGATGTTTCTTCTCACGCTGCTGATCTACCTCTTTACCTTTATATTTGTTCTTTCACTTGTAATTCCTTTCATTGTAATAGAAAATAGCAGTTAATGAAACACAATTTACAGCCTGTTTGAGATCCATTTTTTTTTTTAGAAAAATGCATTTTGAAATAATGGTTTGGTGAATTTCCATATAAAACAAGTTCTAAACAATTATTTTATCTGAAATTCATTTTTTTCCACCAATTTCCCACCCTTGCAATCAAACGGACCTTAGTATTTATTGAGGTTTTAATCCAAGGAGGAAACAGTTTTTGCTAAACCAGTGCCATTGCACAGTAGGAGAGTATGAAATTGAGAAGATAAAAATGTATGTTTGATATGCTCGACTCAAAGACAACCAAAATGTTTGCCTAAAAGCAACCACCATTGAAAGAGTACTTAATATCTTACTGAATGGTGCTATGGTAAGCTAAAGCTTCGAATGTAAAAATACATGGGTAGTGGAGCTTTCCGCCTTTGAAGGGAGCCCCGTGCAAGCAGTGTTCGAAGAAGCATAAGTGAGAGCGTCTTTAAGAAATTGTTCGGTGATTTAATATTTCTTAAGCCACTGTTATGGGATTTAGCTGCTCATGAGCAACTCTCGAGCTGCTGCTCGACTCTCCCAGGTTTGGAAATGTTGAACCGAGTAGGTACAGAGGATTCTGTAGTGGCTTGAGGATTTTGTACAAGGATTTTCAGCTATTACAGAATCAAGAAAAGATAAGGAACTGCAGCACTGCAAAAGTGCAAATTGCCATGGATGAACAGGGTGCAAGATAACAGAAAAAAAACACTCTAGGCTGTATTTATGGATTCACAGTATAGCACAATCTTGTTCCATCAATCAGTATAAACAACAGCACTCCTCTTCTGTGAATCTAAGATAACGAAGTAAACATACAACAGTAAATTCATCATTCATTGCATTTGAGTTCTACTTCGACTGAGTCAAGAAAGAGGCGATCCTTTTGTTCTAAGCCTTGCAAACAGATCAGAAGTGAAGAAAATGTTCAATCATGCGCAGAACCATCTAGGTAAAACCACCCCTTTATTCATATGCTTTTGGAGCTCCACTTTACATTGCTGCAATTCACCAACTTGAAATTTCAACATCTCATCGTCTTCTTTAATTAACTTTATTTCTTTCTGGGAGTTTATCCATGATTCCATCCATCCCCCATACCTTTATAAATTCGTAGAATTGCTTCAGGTTTTGTTCTCTGGTTATTCGATGCAGCAGCCATGAAAAATCTTGACATATCGACTTGTTCAAGAAGCATAAACTATGTGGTAATGATCACTGGCAACCGCTCATTCTTTGTGGCATGCTGGTGTGCATCTTGGGATTGTTTATGGTTTTCCAGCACACTGCATACATTTCTTCTTTCTTCTTCTGTCAGGTTAGGATGTGCCTGTACAGTTAATAGCAAAAACATAATCTAGATTACAATAATTTCACATGTTAATTGAAATAATATCACAAGGCGTTGAACCACCTCCTCTAAAAAATTAAGCTGCTAGAGAATGGACATAGTATTAAACACTCCCCTCATATGCATGCCGGATTCAATTTTTCATCAAGGACAGACGTGCACAGTTTAAATAAATGGGCGGTGATGGTAACGTGAAACCAAGGAGTTTGCCTCCTTCGAATAATCTGCACAATGGATTTGTACTTAACTCTATTGTAGAAAAGGAAACTAATTGAGAAATCCGTTCATATAAATCAGGTTGAAGATTTTTCAAAAAATAAGAAACTAAGAATAAAATACAAATATGTAAAGATAACTTCAGGAAGAAATCAAGGAATATGTACTGATAATTTGAGGAAATCAAGGGGTTTGTCAACAGTAAGCTTGATATTTGAATTAGTTCAACATAATTACTCATGTTTCAGCCAACAATTTAAACAAAATTTCTGAGAAAAGAGTTTGCATACCTTAAGGTACATGTCCATAGCTCTATAAAAATTGTCCTCGCAATTTCTGGGTTCTTTTGGCAACACTTCCACGAGTAGCTGGAAACTTTTTGCAGGAAGATTCTCATATGTGGCCACTAACACAAGATATTCATTGACCAACCTTCTAACAGCATACGATCTTGGCAGGGAATTACTTGAAGAAATGGAAACAAAGGCTTCAAGCGCTTTATCAATAATGTCCACGTTGAAAAGAGTGATACTACTCTTAACTAAAAGGTCTGTAGCTTTATAGCCTTCAAGCATGAGCGCTATTCTTCTTTCAAGCTTGTGTAGCAACTCTGAATCAATTTTCATGATATGTGCTGCCTTTAAAAGATATAGAATATCTTTATCCAACAATCAGTCCTAACTTTATGCATTTGGATGGACAGATCTTTCTGATTCAGATTGTTGTGCCGCACTGCAATTCCAGAAAGCCACTTTACTGTCCAGTCAGCTATACACGAACCTAAAAGATTAGGCTGAATCTGCTTTCTTTTAATTGGTTCAATTACTTCAATGAAATAATTATTTGAAGAAACGAAAGATCTTCAAATCACAACGACCTGATAAATTGTTGGCATCCATGTGATTTATGCTTTTAGACAAAATATTCAAATACACTTCATTTTCCTCACTACCATTTGGCATTTGCTTTCGTGCAGACTTCCCAAGCAATTGTTTCAGAGCATCATTTCAATATTTGCAAGTCTCGTGCCCAAGAAGAGATGGATTTGCAGCTTCTAAAAATTCTAAATGTATCTTTCCATGATGAAACGATTATATAATATAACTCAAAAAGGCATCGGTTTTTGAAATCAGGTTTCTTGTTCAAGATCATCACTCATTTCCAAGAATTGAGCGGCACAATAAAGTGGAGCAACAATTGATGCTGTAAGATTGACCTTCCAACCATAACAGAACTTTAAAACTAACTCAGAATATTTTGCTCCACTAGGGAGTTTGTCAATTTGGAGACTGAGATTGCCATATCTTTCCATGATGAAATGATTAATTATACAACTCAGAAAGGCCACAGTTTTCGAAATCAGGTTTCCTTGATCAAGATCATCACTCATTTCCAAGAAGTGAGTGGCACAATAAAGTGGAGCAACAATTGATCCTGTAAGATTGACCTTCCAACAACATTTTGCTTTAAAACTAACTCAAAACATTTTGCTTCACCAGGGAGTTCGTCAATCTGGAGACTGAGATTGCCATATCCATGATTCTGAAATACCATCTGTTTATAAAACCACTTCTTGAGACCAAAGGGAGCTGAAAGAACATGATATAAAATTAACCGCAAATTAAGAAGTATCTAAATAAGAAAATTTTGTGGGGACTAATTTCTGTAAAGCCTTGAGTAAGAAACTATGGATGTTACAATGACAACTATATACTTCTAGTCAGAACACATTTCATGATAGACAAGATGACAGAAAAATAACAATTGAACATGGCCCATCCACACAAAACTGAACAACGAATGATATCATGTTCTTAGTTCGATATTTTCCATTGCAAGGCCTAATTTCTGCAAAGCCTTACCATTAAGAATGTTACAATGACAATTATATACTTCTAGTAAGAATGCATTTCATGATAGACGAGATGACAGAAAAATAACAATTGAACAGGGCCCATCCATACAAAACTGAACAATTAATGTTATCACGTTCTTAGTTCCATATTTTCCATTGCTTTTGTCTAATCAAACAAACGCAACCAGCTGCTCCTAGGATTACTTTATGATTCCTTCAACTAGAAGAGGATAACACCAACTTCAGCCTAATTATTGGCGTAATGGAAACATAATAATAAAAATTCATACGATGTCCATAACACAGAACTTTCATCTTTTGAATTTTTTATTTAAAATATGGTAATGAAATGCAATAACCAATTTAGGAGGAAAAATTGATGAAGTGTACCTTATGCAAGTGAAAGCTCTTTCCTTCCATTTGTATAATCAAATCATTGGGAATTTTAGTCCGGATGAACCTACATGAGATGGTTGTTAACCAAATGCCACGGAAAACACATGTACCGAAACAAGAAGAAATTGAAGCGGTATTGACTAATTGCCAGTTGTTGTTTCTCCTCTCTATAGATTTTGCAACCATATCCAAACTGGCTGCAAGTATTGTACAGTTATTGTGCTTTTTGACACATATTGATCCATTAACTGGATATATCCTTCCAAGAATTTTCACATCCATCTCCGCCTTCTCATCCAGAAATGAGAAGTAATATAAGTTCTCAGTGTACTATATGTTGTGGGGGACTCACAAGCTCAAATAGCCAGATACAATGGGTCAGTGTATATAAGAGATAATACATTTCCAAGGATGACATATGACTTTCAGCCTGTTATCTGATGATTGTAAAGCATAAAGTAGAGTGGGAGTACAGCCTTTTTTGCTATGATCAGTAGTGATTGGGACAACAACGCTTCTTTGTGATTTCAGACAACAGTCCAGATCATACGATCAATGTGGCTTCTATCGTTGATTTGAACAGCATTCATACTGTAAAAACACTTGGTGCGTGTTTGGTACACAAGACTATTCTTCTTCAATTGAAACCAATACTATCAAATCCTTCCTATTAAACATACCGTTATGGTATTGAAATGAAACTGCTCTATTGTTCTGGATTAGGTCCTAATCCCTACTTCCGAGAGCAATAATAAACAAAAAGCAATCTGAAAACGAGCAAAGCAGACAAAGTTTTATAATGGTTCAACCTGAATTTGAGTGCTATACCCACTTAGTGCTACCAGTTTTCACTATATCGGAGGTGTACAAGGGTTTTCTCACGATTCATTCCATATCAGAGAAAACGTCCCCCATAACATCCTTTATATATCCTAGAAATATTAGGGCAACTTAGTATAAATCTGAAACGATTGTGCTACATATATATAATGATTTACATAATAATTTACATACACTTGATGTGGTGAGATATGATTGGATCAGATTATTTTTAGCAAAAAAAAAAAGCTTCTTCACTCTCTTTTTCACACCTCATCTATATGTAAACCATTATGTACAAATAGTATTATTCAATCTAAAATATCAAAGATATCCCTTAATTTAAAATACACTTAAGTGACTTCTTTTGTACCAATTGAGATAAGCGCCCTTTTCGTCTGAGCTTAAAATACTTCTTGTATGCTGACTATCTCCATGTTGACTCCCATCTTATATGTATGTGCCAATAGTGAAAAGAAAACAAAAGATAACAAACCTTGTTAAAGATTCAGCTACTAACTACTCAATAAAGCTACCAAAAAATTGTGAACCAAACCGATTTATACATCTGGATCATGCCAGAACCTATGACTGTTGATGAAAGAATGCATGTAAGGGAAGCCATTTATTGTTCTATTTATTCAATTGAAAAATAAAAATAAAAAAAATCAAGGAAGTGTCAACTGATTTCAATATTGTTCAGACAATTTGTTGCACCTTACTTATTTCGTGCAATATCAATTGTTATCAATAATTCAGAAAACTTGATACTTCTAAGAAATTAAGCATGTACACAAATTTAAATTCATGCAACACAAAGTCATATTAAGCTGATTTCAATTATAAATTCCTCTCACAAAACCAACGCCGCAAAAACCAAAAACATAAAAATCATTCTCATGAAATAAAATGCAATTTTCACAAACATAAAGAAATAATAAAAATTCATAGTCACCAAAATTTTTAACAAAAACAAAAATAGTGGTTCCTCAGAATACTCTCCATTTTCCTCTTCTTCTATTCAGCTTCATATTCCTCATATTCCTAAAATACCTAACACATCCCTCAAGATTTTCTTTCTTGCACAAAAAACCCATCAAAACAGCACAGCAACAAAACCCCAAAATCCAATCTTTAGCTCCTCTTTTCCACCCATTTATTGAAAGCCCAAATAAAACTAAACCCAAGCTCCCGAAGAAAACATCACCATGTACAACCAACTCTTTACCCAAAACTAACCACAGCCCAACACCTAAAATTACCAAAATACCCAAAATTCCCAATTTCGATGTCCTTCTCTTTTTCGAACCATCGAAAGCTCCCCATCCAAATCCATTCCAGGATCTAAATCCTCCTCCATTACCGCCTATATTCCCACCTCCGAATTCTATCAACAATAACTCCAATGGCTCCGGTAAAATCCCAACGTTCGAAGCAATAATATAAGCTGACTGAAGCGCGAGCTTTGTTGATCTTTCAAACCCATGTCGCTTTCTCTTGCTTCTGGAACATAGAATTGTTTTCTGTATGCGGGTCTTCTGTGAGTGGCAATTGTGAGAACGGTATGGCGAAAACGCTGGGTGTTGAAGGCACAGGGACGAATGTATCATATCCAGTTTGAATTGAAGAGTAAAATGGGATCTGAGATGAGAGATTGGAATATGAACTGGTAGTGTCTCCTGTACTTGCTCAGGGAATCGAAAAATTGTCCATTGCCCGGGCATTCAGAATCTTGAAAAAATTTCGCTTTGCTTTTCAATCACTTCATCTGTGTTTTTTTTTTTTTTTTTGTTGTTCTGATGCGGGAGCGGGACACTTTAGGTGAACAAGGTAAGTAATGTTGTTTGAATCTGGTCACAAGTACAAAATAATTATACAGATTTTATACATATAATTTTGAAATGGCGGGAATAGATTCAAAGATGGGAAAAAAGAACACAAGGACTGGAGGTAGGAAATTCAAAGTTCTTTCAAATTCTGTGAGTTATTCACGTACTTGAGCAATAACTGACGTTGTTTAGCATACCACTGATGACGATGTGACGATTAGATGTCATTCATTTAAGGCGTGTTTGATGAATATTGTTGAAAAAAAAGATTTATGCTGAAAGTACAGGAAAAATTGTACAGAAATTGAACAGATTTTTGAATTTTCAGACACATGGTGCGGGCCCCACATATAAAATATTGAAAAAAAAAATGCTTCCCGCCCATGAATGTGTGTATTCGGTAAGTACAGAAAATTTGAATTTCTGTACTTATAGCTCGGTTGGAAAAAAAATGTATTTTAAATAATGATATAATGAAAAATATGTTAACTTTATTTTAATTTACTCATCCGTCACTCGTACAAATTCCATCCTTCCACGTGAACAAAAATCCAAATGGACGGATGTAATTGATATGAATTATGGATTGATAACTTTTTTTAAAAAATGGGTGAATGGTGAGTAATTTTTTAAAATTTGAATGAGCAATTAGTAATTTAAAATAAAAGTTTAGTGAGCATTGATTTAATTAATTCGATTTTCCAACTTGATTAATTCCATGAATTATTGCAACTCTGCAAATCAATAATTTGCTCACCAATTATCAAACTCCATTCGGCCCTTGTTCGATCATCATTATTTTCAAATTATATTTTCCTCCCTTACTTTGAATCAAGCATTCTTCAATAAAATAACATTGTACACAAACCTAAAATATTTTCTTAATTTTTTGACCACACATTTACCATCAAATCGCTAGTTAAAATACAATTTCCATGTAGGCCGGTCTGTTTGGCTCGACGAGACACACTGGTCGGATTAGGCTCAAGCAATCGCTTAAAAATGTGGCCCGATTTCATCGAGCTGTAAGCCGAGCTGGCTTGGGCTTTTTACAGGTCAGAGCCGTGATCCGTCCGAGTCGACAAGCCAGATTGACATACCTTACTATGGACATTCTAATTAATGAACGATAACTTTCATTTCATGGAGTTCATAATTTTTAGGGGAATTTATATTGAAATATAAACAACACTTAACGTGAGGTTAAATATTGATAGAATGCACATCTCGAGCCGTATCTTTTCATTTAGAATTTAGTTCATGTTTGATCATCATTTCTTATAATTTATTTTTTTTTTATTTTATTTTCAATTAAACATTTTCAAAATATATTTTTCTCTTTCTTATTTTCAACCATTTTCAACCATACATTCTTCAATAAAATAATATTACACCCAAATTCAATACTTTTTTTAACCACGCATTCTTCATAAAATACTATTCTAAAATGCATTATTTCCTAAAAAAGGGGAGGGGGGCTCAAATAGGCTCTACAAGTTTAATTTTTGGGAAAAATTCACAACTCTGACATCAAGCCCATGTTTGGTTTGAATTAAAATCTAATTAAAATATCAAGTTAAAGTCAATCATTAAATATATTTTATTAATTAAATAATTTCATGGGACTCACAACTTTTGAACTACACATTTCATAAATTTTTATCAAAATCTACTAAAAATCTGATTTTAACCTCCCCCAAACGAAGGTTAAGTATGTGGCAATTCAATTTTCAAGTTTTAAATTTTAAAATTCAAAACTCGGGTATTAATTAATTAATTAAATATATTTTCTTCATTGAATATATTTAAGGCCACATCTATACAATAAATGCTTGTAGATGCATATTTATAGGTCACAACTTATTTATTGCTCACGTATTATCAAATTAATTGATCACAAATTATTTTATGGTCACGATAAAAAAATTTGATAGGTCACAAATTAAAAAAAAAAAAATTATATATCACAGTGTATTTGTCGGTAACAGATTTTCAAATTTGTTGATCACAAATTATCGAATTTTTAGTTCATAATTAAATAATTAATCAAAAATAACTAAATAGTTAATTACGGATTAACCAAATAGTTGGTCACATACACCTAAATAGTTGGTCATATACCTCCATGACCAACAACCACATATGTAACTGCAAGACCACCAGATGACAAAGTAAAATCGAAATGCAGAATTCAATAAAGACGGCCTCCATAATGTCCCTTGCGACAACAATGGCACTATTGCCTCCACCTCCATAACCTCCTCACAACGTCCATCACGACTCCATGTCATCTATTTCAGAGAAATCAAACTCAGATAAAAAAAGAACATATCTGTGTCGCATATCAGTGTGAATGTGCACGAAGGAGAAAAAAAAAATGCATCACTGCTTACTAAGGAGAGTCGCGCACGAAGCAGCAAAATGCCTAACACGGAGGAGCGTTATCGCCGCTCGCAACATTGATGCACACAAAAGAACGCCGCACTAAGTGGCAACGCCTAACACGAAGGAGCACCGTTGCTGCACCGTGAAGATTCGCCAGAGTGGGCGCGCCGTGAAGAACCATCGAAGTGGGTGCATTGTGAAGGTGGAAGTGGTAGTGAATAGTTTTGAAAATGAATTAGGTTTTGTAAGGTATGAGTCAACGTGGGTGGGGGTAGAGACCGCCGTTGTAAGATCGGTAGTGGCCTCCGGAAATGGGTGCTGCGACGCTGGAGTTGTGAGTTAGGTACAGAGAGTAAGAAGAGAGAAGATGGAAAAAAAATGAATTTTAGGGTTTGTGATTAAATTGGATAGAGATGAAGATGGATAGATTTTATATTATTATTAGTTAAATTAACACCTAATGTATGATTAAATAAATTTATTATCTGATTTTTGAACTATCATCTTAAAAAGCCTGGTCTAGCGTAATTTCCACTTAATTTCTATCCACACAGCATGGGCTTAACTTCCAAATGTATATCCTTTCGATATCTATTTGTACTTACATACTAAGATATTATTTCCTTGTTTGACCCTCGTTTCTTAGCATTTTTTTTTCAAATTTATTTTTAATCACTTATTTCATGGAATTCACAATTTTTATCAATTTTTCATTTACATATTTCATTATATTTTATCAAAAGATACAAAAAAATCGATTTTTATCAAAAATCAAATGGGGCTAAGCTATAAAATAATGTGATGTAATAAGATATTCATGTGGATGAGAGATGATTTCAAAGGGACGATGATGAGGCTAGACCTCCAACGATTAAGTTGAGTTTTCGAGGATTAGCCCATTCTAGTGATTTAGAGTATGTTTGGAAAGTGTTTATACACTACTTAAATTATAAATTGGTAAAAATCATCGGCTGATAAGTGAGAATACTTGCGAGTACTTCAAAATATGTGGATAAAAAATAAATAAACACGAGCCATACATGAGCTTATTGCCTTTTTTAGAATTAGTCAACGAGAACAAGAATACGTCTAGGATGAGGCCTAGCCCATCAAAATGAGGTTGAGTACATTAGGATGCGGATATGTCGAGGAAGAAGCCAAGCTCGAAAGGGCAAGCTCCAGCCGAGGATGAGGACTAGTCTATGTACAAAAGAATATGTGTAGAAGGAGAACACGATTCATCTAACTTTACTGAGTTCAACCAAGCATTAATGCACCCGTCGAGCTCGTGAGAATAATTTTAATCAAAAAATAACGTGATGGCACGTGAAAAAATCCACGTGTCCAAAGGGCAATAATGACCTCACATGGACGAGGATGAGGCCAAGCCTCCGAGGACAAGGCATAGCCCATGAAGATTAGCCCATTGTAGAGGATGAAGTCGAGTCAATGAGTATTAAGGCATAGCCCATGAGTATTGGAATATGCTAAGAACGATGCAAGAGTCCACGAGGATAAATCCATGGTAAATCCAGATTAACTTATAGTACTATAGCCACTCCAAAAGTTTACGTAAACCAAGAAGTTGATGTGATTAGATGTAGTAGATGAGATCTTGATAATAACTAGAAATATGGCCATTGTGCCCGCGTACCTCTCTCCTTGTATAGCTCCATATAGAAACCATTTTCAAGGAAAAATGGAGAGTCAACGACATTATTTCAAAGGCAAAAGTCTTCCAACTTTATTTCTTTCTATAAAAATATAACTTAGGCATCGGAATACTTCCGATCATTGACCTCTCTTCTTACAACTAGTTCTAGCGCTTTCTTGTTGCCATAATCGAACAAAATTTCAACTTTTATATTGATGTGATGTTCTAACGAAAAAATGATTTCAACCATGCTTAAAAAGTGTTAATAGAAAAAAATCTAAAAAGTCAAAACATACTTATAATATTTAAAAGATAATTTACTCGATATCAATTGTGTATTACTAATCAAGAATGTGTCTAGCTCTATCCATTCTTTATATCGAGACTTGCCATCTTCTATGGATCACAGTAAAATGAAGGATACAAAGTCATAATAAAAGAAAAAATTGCAGCAACTGTCCATAACCTTTTTAATTTTTGCAGACTTTACCATATCCTTTAATTTGTGTCAGCGAAGGTCCCTAACTTTTCAAAAATTATGTATCTGAAGTCCAAATGGATGTAATCCATATACTTTTCCGTTAGTTGACTAAAAAAAATATTTTGACCATATTTTAACTATTTTTAAGGGGTAAAAATGTACCTTTACATTTTTTATTATAAACAATTAAAATATTACATCAAAAATTGAAAAAAATGGAAGAAGACGTCTTCTTCTTCTTCCCCCACCCAAAACCAATCCAAACCCACGGGTCGTCGCCGCCACCTCAAACAAACTACCGCATGTATCAAGCACCACCACCACCTCAAATCCATCATCTCCTCCACCTATACCACAACACAACCACCACCCCAC